CAAACCACCATCCTCACCACTGAAATCCCTTAAGATTTCAGTGGTGAGGAGGCCCAAACAAGGTGGTCCCGGAGCTCACTAAAAATGCACAAAATTGAGGCCAAACAAGGCCTAAGAGGGGTCAAACAACCCCAAACACCAAAGTGGTCTTAATGAAGTATCTTAAACACAAAAAAAAAAAACTTTTTTATGTTATACACCAAGCTCAAATCAGCAAGAAAGACAGGCTAAAATGAGGTACAAGAAAGTACTAAAAAGGGGAAGAAACTTACCCTTGAAGACTAAATTCGAGACCAACAGCTTCAGGGGCCAAAACCAGCTTTTGGAGCTCAATAAACCCTCCCAAGAACCTCAGTCCAATGGTAGTGGTGTATGGCTATGAGGTGTGGTGCAATAGGCCAAGAACAAGGGTCTTTGAACACTCTAACACACCCAAATGCAGAGAGAGAGGGAGATATAGAAAGAGAGGGTGATATATATGTTATATGTATGTATTAGGTCTGATTTTGCTCCACCAAAACAAAGGAGGAGAGGGTTCCCTTATATAAGCAAAGGGAAGGGCTTGAAGCTTATAAGACAAGCTAAAAAGAAAGGGTCAAGTGGGCAAAGGGGGCAAGGCTTATTAAGGAAACCAAGCTGGGGGTGCAAGCTTCTTGAGGAAGCCAAGACAAGGGATCAAAGCTTCCTCAAGAAGCCTTGAGCAAAGGGTGCAAAAAGAGGGGTCAAAGGTGGTCAAAGGTGCAAAATAGCCACATATATGCACGGGGAGCAGGGTCTGTGCATCCCAGCTGGCAGAGCTGGCATGCACCATGCCTGGAAGGTGCAAAAAGGTCAAACCGGCCAAAAAAGGAGGTCGTCGGCCAAAATAAATGGCCGGTCGGCACAATAAATTTCTGCTCGGCTAAATAGATTGCCGATAGATGCTGCCAAGGTCAAAAAATGGCCGGTGGGTGTCCAAATTGAAGCCCCGGAAGTTATCTTTTCAATGCCACAAACCTTGCATTATAATTCCTCCTGTGCAAAAAGTTATGCCCTTTTTGGTGAAGCCGCACAGATTCGATCCAACCAGGATGATGCCCAACTTCAACTGATCATATCTCCCCCACCCGGACTTGGCTTTAAGAGATTCTTGAGTGAAAAATGAAGCCCCAGAAGTGAGCTTTCCGATGGTGGTGGCCCCATAGCTAAAATCCAAGTATGCAGATTAATAAGCCCGATTCAGCGAGGACTGCTCGACTCCCTTCTACCCGGATTCATGCCTGTCTTCTCCTCCAACTTGGTTTCTTCTCTCTTCCTCTCCTTTCTTCAACTTCAAACCCCTAAGCAAGGTGTTTTGAAAGATTTTTCAAAGATTTCATCTCTCTTTCATTCATTTCCACTTTGTCCCTGCTCGGTTTACCGAAAAGCGCAACGTTTGACAAAATCCGAGCCTCGAAACATCGTAGAAACTTTATTTCAAAATTTTTTTGAAAGAGAGGGTTTTAAGGTCTAAAAACCATCAAAAATAGCTTTGGTCCAAAACGGGGTGTGAATTTGGGACTTGTCTCTCTCCTTGCCGAAGAAACTGGATCTTTGCCCTGCACACCTTTTATCACCAAGTAAACCATCAGTAACGCCCAAGTCTTAAGGGCAGTCAAAAATGGGGTGTCTACAGTCCCCCCATGCCCATAGTAGATTTATTGGTGGATAGTTTAGCAGGGCACAAGATTTTGTCAATAATGGATGGGCACTCTGGTTATAACCAAATCTGCATTGCAGAGGATGTCCACAAGACAGCATTCAGATGTCCTGGGAATATTGGCACCTTCGAATGGGTTAAAATGCCATTTGGACTGAAGAATGCTGGGGCTACATATCAGAGGGCTATGAATACTATCTTTCAAGACCTTATTGGGGGGTATTTAGAGTGTTATATTGATGACATTGTACTGAAATCCCAGTCCATGGAGGAACATTTGTTTCACTTAGAAGCAGCTTTCGAAAAGATGAGAAAGTTTAAGTTGAAACTCAATCCTCTTAAATGTGCTTTTGGCGTATCATCTGGAAACTTCTTGGGCTATGTAGTACACAAGAAAGGAATACAGATTGTCCAGAATAAAGCCAAAGCCATCATTGAAGCCAGACCTCCATCAAGTAAGAAAGAATTACAAAAGTTCCTTGGATAGGTTAACTTTCTTCGAAGATTCATTTCTAATACTGCAGGGAAAACTAAAGTATTTTCTTCCTTGTTAAGGATGAAAGATGAAGAGGAGTTTGTGTGGACAGCAGAGCATCAAATTGCTTTCGAAGGAATCAAAGCCTACTTGGCCAACCATCCAGTGCTAATGCCACCAAAGGGTGATAAACCCTTGAAGTTGTACATATCTGCAGCAGAAGATTCATTGTGAGCTTTCTTAGCCCAAGACAATGAAGAAGGCAAGGAACAAGCGGTTTATTACCTTAGTAGGTTTCTAAGTTCTTGTGAATGTAAATATTTAGCTGTAGAAAAGTTGTGCCTTGCATTGTATTTTGCTGCAATGAAATTAAGATATTATCTTTTGCCTACAACTGTTTTGGTAATTGAAACAACAGATTTGGTTAAGTATATGTTATCCAGACCCATGTTGAGGGGAAGAATTGGCAAATGGATACTAGCTTTGTCAGAATTTTATTTAGAATATGTTCCCCAAAAGGCAGTAAAATGACAAGTTTTAGCTAATTTTTTGGCAGACCATCCATGTCAAACCGAAAACCAAGAGATAATGGAACTTGGTATGGCTAGTGTTGAACCATGGCAAATGTGGTTCAATGGATCAAAAGCCAATGGTTTAACTGGAATTGGTATAATAATCAAGTCACCACAATGAGTATAAACCACACATGGTTTCAGAGTGAATGAAATTACTTGTTCAAATAATCAAGCTGAATATGAAGCCTTAATAATGGGACTGGAAATACTTATTGGATTACAAGCTCATGTAGTTGACATATTTGGGGATTCTCAATTGGTAGTTAACCAGGTGAAAGGGATTTTCAAATGTCAAAGTATAAGCATGTTGCCATACTATGTTGTTGCATTACATCTGCTTTCTCAATTTCAGATAGCAAATGTAACTCATGTCCTAAGATTCTTGAATAATAAAGATAATGACATAGCTCAGAAAGCTTCGAATTTCAAGAGAAGGGATAATACTGGAAAAAATATAAGCCAAACAACATATCAGAAATTAATACCACCCTTAAATAAAAGGAATGTGGTCCTGGAAGTCAATCATAATGACTTACAAGAGCAAGATTGGAGGCATCCAATAATGCAGTATCTGACTGGCCCAACTTCGAAAGCCAGTAGGAAAATTAAATTGCAGTTTATGCAATACATAATGTATGGTAATGCTCTCTACAAAAGAGGAGCAAATGGGTTATTGTTGGAATGTTTAGGTCCAAAGGAAGCATTGACAGCTATGGCTGAAGTTCATGAAGGCATCTGTGGTGCTCATCAGCCTGGTGTGAAGATGAGATGGTTGCTTTGAAGGCATTCCTACTATTGGCCAACTATCCTTAAAGACTGCATAGAGTATGCAAGAGGTTGCCAGGCATGTCAAAAGCATGGCACAATAAGGCATGTGCCCATAACTGACCTACATGCAGTAGTGAAGCCTTGGCCATTTAGAGGATGGGCCATGGATATGATGGGGAAAATACACCCACCCTCTTCGAAGCATCATTGTTTCATTTTAGTGGCCACTGATTACTTCACTAAGTGGGTCGAAGCTAAGCCATACAAGGCTGTAGACCAGACTGAGGTCATTGGATTCATTAAGGATTTAATCCATAGATTTGGTATCTCGGAGACTATAACTATTGATAATGGGACTGTATTTGATGGGAAAATGGTAAAGTCTTTTGTGGCAGAGTTTGGAATTAGCCTTGTTAATTCCACCCCCTATTATGCACAAGCCAATGGTCAAGCTGAATCATCCAATAAGTCCTTGAAAAAAGGAATACAAAAGGTTGTGGATGACAATCCTAGGGATTGGCATAACTTATTGCTGGATGTATTGTAGGCTTATAGAACTTCCCCAAGGTCAAGCACAGGAGTCACTCCTTATGCCTTAGTATATGGGCATGATGCAGTGTTACCTGTGGAAATTAATGTTAAGTCCTTGAGGGTAAGATGCCAAGACCAGTTAGATCTTGAGCAATACCATCAGAGTATGTGCTTGGAGTTGGAAAGCATAGATGAAGCTAGAATTATGGCATTAAATAGCATTCTTTTCCAAAAGAAGAAAGTAGCCAAAAACTATAACAAAAAAGTCAAACACATTGGCTTTGATGAAGGTGATTTGGTATGGAAAACAATACTCCTAATAGGGATTAAAAGCCATAAGTTTGGCAAATGGTCACCTAACTGGGAAAGACCATATCAAGTTCGTAGAGTCCTGCCTTTTGGAGCATACCATTTGAGAAATTTGAATGGATATGTACATTCCAAAAAGATTAATGGCAGATATTTGAAACCTTATTTTCCAACTATATGGGAAACACAAGGAATAGAATAAATGTTGAGTAAAAGAATATGAGAATATTCAAATGATAAATAAGAATTTGCTTTTCATAAAGAATTGAATATGTTCTGCGATAAATTGGCCCGAAAGTCATTACATGTCTCAGTTGTTCTTTTACAATAGATGTTCTATTCTTAAATGATGAGAACAACTGGATGGCTGTGGTCATTTCCTACTTTCGGTCGGCCAGTCCTGATTGGTAATCTGCAACTTCGTATCAGTTCGGATTAAGGCCTGGTTAACTGCGGATAGCTCCTCTTCAAGTTGAGCTTTCTTCTCCAGTAGTTGAGTTCGAAAGTGGTAGACAGAGGAATGTTGTTCCTTTAGCTCTGATACTTCAGTATGTACTGTGGAAACAAAGCTCTGGTCTCTAACCAATTTCTCCTCTACAGCATTGATAGCATGTCAAATGTTGATGTAAAAGTCAATAGTGGCTGCTGCCTGAGATAAATGACTTCAGACATTCATGCCGGATTGTTCAACGATTTTATAGCACTGAAGGAAGCCATTTCTTATTATAGGCCTCTGTAAGGCCTCAAAAGGGATCCTCGAAAAGGATGTCAATAGCTCCAGGTAGCTGTCTAAGTCTATCAGAGGCAAAGAAGTCTTACTACTGGTGGAAGAGCTCTCAAAAATTTCTAGCAAGGAATCAGCCACAACTAATGGCTCAGTCTCATCATTAGCCATTGGTGAGGTGGAAGGTACGTCGAAGAGACTAGCTAGTCTCACTTCGAAGATGTTTACCTCATCCATGGACATGAAGGGTGTAGAAAGAGCTTTGGTAGAAGGCACAAAGGACTGCATAGGGATAGGAGAAATGGGTGGAGCATCTTCAGCAGTTTCTATGGTTCTAGCCACCAATAGATCGAGGGAAGAGGGGCTGGAACTAGGTAGAGGTAATAAACCATGAATTGGAGAGCTACTAGTACCCTCTATAGAAGAATCAGCTACCATCAAAGAGGAAGTAGTAGCTGGAGTTTCCTTAGGAGGGGAAGGAAAAGTAAGGCTCGAAAGAGAACTAAATTGAGAAAAATCAAAAGACAAATAAGGGAGATATGGGGTTAAGCCAGAAGGAAAATGAGCAGGAATACTTGGCCTTAGGAAGTGTATAGAAAATATAGGGCCTGGAAGTGGCAGAATTATTTGAATGGTCTCCACATCATGAGTTTGTTCCACTTCAACTGAAACTGAGGGAGTCCTTATTGGAAGAATAGGCTCAGTAGTTGTTGATGCAAAAGGAGAAGTACAAAGTAATGTCAAGTCTCAATACCAAGAAATTGACAAGGGAAAAGAATAGAGACATGAAAGAAGTTACTTGTTTTAGAAGTGTTAGTAACAATGGGAGGGCTGCGATGAGAATAGTGCTCAGCAATATGCTGCCTCCTTGCAGTTTCTCTTTGGATTGCAGCAGTAGCAGAAGCTTCATCTCTTAACAGTTGTTGCTGCCACCTTTTTTCAGCTCTCTGAAAAACAAATATGGCCTTTGAATGTTCCTGCTCTACTGCCTTTGCAGCTGCCTCATGAATAGGGTCTTCGACCAAATCAGAAGGGGAAACAGTCATCTTCCTTCTCTTTTTTCTCTGTATTGGTATGGCCTGCTCCTTCTCAATTTCTCTCTCTTCAATCTGGGATTCAGATTCCTTAGAAGAGAGTTCCTCTTTTACTACCTTGGCAGTTGTCTCATGAGTGGGATCTTGAACCGAATCAGAAGAAGTGACAGTCACTCTCTTTCTTCTTTCTAAGGGTGTCTCTTGCTCTTGCTCTACTTCTTCTTCTTCTACTGCCTGAACTTCAGGTGCTTCATTTTCAGGATCAAGCAAAAGTTTCCTTTTCTTCTTTTGTTGTTTGCTCCTGAGAAAATTTAAAGCTTGGGTCTTCTGAGGAGAGTCTCCCTGTGAAGCACCCGTACCACCTTCACAAAAGAAGAACTAAAGATAAGGCTAAAAAGCATTATAAAAAAAAAGGCAAAAGGAGAAGAAACAAGGGTATATACCTCTCTTCGAGGCAGCCCGAGTAACTCTATGAGGAGTGGATGCAGCAGGAGTAGACTGTGTGGTGGCAGGCGCAGGAACTGAAGTGGTAAAAGCAGTGGAAGAAGTGACAACTCCAGCTCCTTTGGGATTGGATTGGGGCACATCCAGCACCATTAATAAGTCTTGAGGAGCAATGGCCCAGTATACTTCCATATTGGTCACCCACCAGTTTTGGTACCTCTTCAATAGGTTACCTTGAGGAATGAAAGGGATATATTCAAAATCGATCAAGTCTTATATAAACTTAGAAGTTGCCTCTTCTAGTCTGGACCTTCGAACCTTTAAATCCCTGCTGGTAAGACTTAGGTTGGTGTTACTGCAGAGAGGTATTGGGACCCCTTGTGAGAAGCCAAATTGTCTAGCAAATTGAGCAGGACAATAGGGTTCAGCAATGCATTTGTAGGCTCTGGGGTTCATAGTCCCAATGAATAACTCTTTAGGGATCAAAATAGAAGCCCATATATCTTTGTGGGGAGGTGAAGAATAGAACCTATCACTTAGAAAATTCTTTAACCAAGATGGGCCAATAGTAATGGGTTCAAAAGGACGAAAGTTGTAAGAAGGTAGGGAAACTGGAAGTTGGTGGAAGAAAGAGAAGTAAAAAGCAAAGGTAGAAGGATAAAGTGAAGCATTGGCTAGCCTCATGCCGTAAGTAGGAGGGTTTGGCTCAAAAAATTTACGGCACTTAGATTATAGCTCAGCAAAATAAGCAAAAAGCCAAAAATGAAGTATCCAAAATGGACCCCCTTGATTGGCATCCAAGGGTTTCTCACAAAAAAGAGAACAAGTTCTATCTACATGACCTAGAACGTATGGAGCTATGGCCACCTTTTTCTGTAGAACAAGGGCTTTGGCAAGAGAGGCAAATTCAGACATAATTCTTTGAGAGGAAGTGCAGAAAAGGAATTTGCAAAGCCAATATAGTATGAAAGAAAAGAATTCCCTATCAGTTACAGGGCCCTCCCTTCTATTCTCAGTCTTGACAAAGTCACTATAGGATGAGTTAAGGGAGGGGAGGGAAAAAGGGATTGGTAGGTCAGGATAACCTGGTCTAATGGGGGTACCAATGGGGAACAATCCTAATAGATGACAAATATCAAGAACAGTAGGGGCTATCATCCCACATCTAAATTGAAAGAAATTAAAGGCAGAATTCCAAAAACAAAGGGTAGCAGGTATTAAGAAAAGGTCCTTTGAGATAGTGAACCTGGATAGCTGGAGGGTGTAGACACCCCATTTTTAACCGTCCTCAAGACTTGGACGTCATCGTTTGAACACTCGATGATTATCCATGCTCGTGTTCGTTTTGAGTTCCCGGAGGTCTCGGTCGCGCGCCTTGCCTCAAGATCTCTCAACTTGTATGTTTTGTGCTTGGTTGCAGACCAAGCACTTATGTTTTTGCTTCTGAGGGAAGAGGGTGGCTTGTTGGCCATTACCTCAACCCATCGGCCAAGGCATGAAGCCAGTGGCCCTGCTTTCTTGCCATGCCATCGGCCAAAAGTGTTGGCCGATCGGCACTCTTTTTAGTCAATCGGCCCTTGTGTTGGTCGATCGGCCATATTTTCTGGCTGAACCCTATTCATCTATTTTTTTGCAGATATTTTATGCCAGCTGTCATAGCTGGCATCCATAATTCCCCCCCTCTATACACGTGTATGGAAGGATTTGTCCCTTGCCTTAGCTTTCTTAGGAAGCTTAGAATTTGGACTTCTATAAGAAGGGAGCCCCTCCTCCCTTCTTAGAGGTTCTGAAAATTTAGGGTTAGAGACTTGTATCTATCTATCTCTATATCTCCCTCTCTTCACATGTTTGTGTGTGTGTTTGTGCCTTAAAGGTTGTTTTGTTCATACTTTTGCACTAGAGCACCTAGTAGAACACCATCCTTGGTTGCTGAGGTCCTAAGTAGTTAGTGTTGGGGTTCTTGAGGTGATTTTGATCAGAGAAACCTGCTGGTGTTGTGTTCTTGGAGGTGTTCTTCAAGGGTGAGCAAACTTGCTTTTAATACCCCATTCTTGCTTAAGCTTTTAGCCCTTCTTGCTTATTGTTTTAAGCTTAGCTATTAACTGATAAAAGTCTATTTTTACTTGCTTTAGACCTTTGTTTAAGGTCTCTTCTTGGTTTGGGGTTGTTTACCCCCTTCAAGGCCTTATTAGGCCTTGTTTTAGGCCATCCCTTTTGGCCTTTGTTCTTAGCTTTGCATGACCTTTCTACCACTGAAATCCAGAGGATTTTCAGTGGTGGAAAGGTGGTTTTGAGGTCTTAAATAGGAGAGGGTCATCCTCTGTCCTTGTTGTCTTGAATGCTTGCATAAATGGCTTATGTTGGTGGCTTGTATGCTTAGCTTGTTTTAGCTTCATTTCAGTGTGTATTAGGCTTTGTTGTGCCATAATATACCTCTGTTTCAAGTTGGTTTGATGGCCTCTTATATGCTTCATATACTTGTCTCGCAATCCTCTTGTTTGCCTCAACATGCATCATGTTGTAACATGTCATTTTAGCATGATTTTGGCTCAACTCTATGAAGCTTTTAGCCTTGTTTTACCATGCTAGAGCTCTGTTTTGCCTTGTCTTAGTCATGCTTGCATTGTTTTGTATAGCAACCATGTAATCTAGCTTGTTAGCTTTGAATGTCCAAGTCACTAGCATGCTTTACTTGGGTCATTTCAGTGATTTGGTATCACTTGTTATGTTATTCCAGTTCATATAGTATGCGCATATACTTTCACTTATCACTCCTTTAATGTTTTAAAGAGTTGATGTCTTATGCCTCACGAATGGACCATTGTGTATGCCTCCATGTTTAGGCCTCTAGGATGCCATTTCAATGTGTTTTTGGTCTTGTTCTAACATGCCATAACTCTGATTTTGGTTGCTTAAATCATACGATGTTCGGTTTTGATAGGTGTAGTGTAACACCCCTTTTGTAGCCTTGCATGCTTCTTGTTTTGAGCCCACCTTTCTAGCATGTTTTGGTCTCGGACATTGCATGTTTTAGGCTCATTTTGACATGATTTAGGACTTTTTTTTGGTTATACTTGCCATATGCTCTTTGTTTTGTGTAGCTTTGGTTCAAGTCCCTTTGCTAGTCTTAGGCTTTAAGCCTTATGCATGCTATGATTATGATTATATGTGTGATTTGGCATAATTTCTAACATCATTTCAGAGCATGTAGTGTTGTCACAATTGCATACTTTTCACTCTTTTAAGTGTGCTTAAGAGTTGTGTCTTCATGCCTAGGTGATAAGCCAATTAGTATGCATGTTTGTATATGCTTTTGTCCCTCATTTCTTAGCATTTTGGCCACTGATTTGGGCAAGTTTGAGAGCTGTCCATGTTGGTTTAAGTCCATTTTCGCATGTTGTTGCATGCTTGCCTTGCACGTTGTTGCATACTTGACCTATTGGATGTTGGTGCATGCTTGAGTTATATTGCATTTGGCATGCCTTTTGTTAAGTTGCTTTGCATGTTTGCATGCTAGTCCCATTGCATGTTGTTGCATGCTTATCATTGGTATTGTTATTATATGCCTATTACATTATAACGCTTGCATGATTATGTTACTTTGTTAAGTTCATCATGTATGTATTACATTGGTCTAAATATACTTGTCCCTTTACATGTTGTCGCATGTTTGCCTCACATGTTGTTGCATGTTTGTCATTGGCATTGTTGTTACATGCCTTGCATGTTTACTTGTTTAGGTTGTATGCCTATTGCACATTGGTTGCTTGCATGCTCATGTTGCATTAGCTTGCTTGCATGCCTAAGTTGCATAGCATTATGCTTGCATCCCTTGCCTCTTGATCAAGCATGATAGAGGTTGGGGCCCCTTATGTGTTGTGTGCATTTCATTTGATATAAATTGCACACTTGGCACCTTTGGCCATCATGCATGGAAATGCGTGATTGGTGGCCCGAGGGTCGAGAACCATACTCCCTTGAGCTCATGACATGATAGGGAGGGTGGTTGTACATACATTGTCTTGAAAATGCATTGCCATGCTCTATTTGTCCTCTGCTGCAGCAAAACAGCATTCTATAGGAAGATATGGCCGGTCAACCATCTTCAATGCCAGTCGACTACAAACATCTGGCCGATAGCTATACTTTTGGTCGATGACATTTTTTATCTTGGCCGATGATCCTATATTTTGGCTGGTGACCTCCCACAGCACTTAGGGAGTGGTTCAGAAGCATCCTTGAGACTTGTGCAGTTTTCAGAGGTGCAAAGAAGTGCACACAGAGGCAATATGTGGCATGGCAACGGATTTTCGAGCAAAGCCGACCGAGCATGCATTCGTCCCTCTTCCCAAGGCTATTTTTACTATTTTCATAGCTTAATTAATTTGTTTAATTAGTTAAGTGTTGTGTAATAATTAATTAGTTTGTTAGTTAGTTAATTAGTTAATTTGTATTATTCTTTTGGTCCCTCCGTCGAGAGGGCGCAATTTTGTAATAAGCGTGCGTGTGTGTGATGCATGTCTTCTAACCTCCATTTCTTTCTCCCTTTTATTCACCGCTTACGATGGTTAGTTTTAGGGCATATTTCAATTATCATCCTTATGCTATGCATGTTTGCATCATTCATCCGTATTGCATGCACCGGGCTCGGCGCATCATACTAACTGCATTGTATTTCAATTCCTACTTGAATACATGTATCGAATTGTCGCATCTCATATGCCATTTTAGATTAGCCGAGCCTATTCTAGTTGCACTTTGCATGCAATGCATTAGCCATTTTAACATGAACTAGGATCATGCATGATTTCTAACTAGTTCCTTGTTTTGGCTCGGAGTACACTGTGAGTGTTTATGTTTTAGCATCTTGCATGAGTGTGAGTTTTGTCATGACAACATGCTTGCCATGAGGCTAATCACTTATATGATATAACTATCTGGATGTCTGTGGGTGAAGGTTGGGTTACTTGAATTGGAACAATTCATCAAATCCACATTTTAGCCCACTTGCGAGTAGAAAACCTCAAACCATTTTCAAACAAATGGATATGTGATGCTTTGTTCCAAATTAGGTGTAGACACCCCATTTTTGACCGACCTTAAGACTCAGACGTCACTGATTGAGCGCTTGGTGATGTTGTATATTGTGCTCGTTCAGAAGTTTCAGAGTCGCGGCCGTGAGCCCTACCTCC